GACATTCCGTACTATCAAACTACAAAATTTCGTGGGCCCCTTTTAAATTGTAATTTTTATTGATTTTTATACTGGGTCATGAAAATTGTTTCAAATACAATGGATTGTGAAATACTCTTTTTAATTATTCTTGTGGCACACTATTTAAAAAAATTTTCTCCAGCTAAGGTAATGAATTGTACTTAACAAAAAATGAATGAGTAAATTTCTTTCCATTCGTGGCCAAGTAAATTGATTTTACGAAATGTTACATTCACCGATCGAACAACACTAGTTTGACCGCCCCCTAATCGCCCCCCGATCAATCGACAAAAATAAAACAAAAACCTCGATATTTGAAAAAAAAAAAAAAAAAAAATTCAAATCCTCATTCTACCAAGATGAAAATAAACATTTTTGCCAAAAGGAATATTCCTCTCACACCATTTCACCTCACACGGAACAAAACCCCGTCGGACGCCCCGAGAGCCGATCAATACCGGGAAACTCCAAAGCCTCCCCATACATCGCAAGCCCCGCACATAATTTGAGGACGAAAATATAGGAAAAAAAAAAAAAAAAAACCTACAAAATAGTAACCCACTGATTGAAAAACACACAAGAGATGCCCATCACGACACATCAAGGGGTTAGTATACGTAGGGAACGCGAGTATAGGATCCCCTTTTCTTACACACCAGCCCCCCCCCCTTCCCCATGTCGCGATCTGAGCTTGCGCACAGCAGTGTCGACTGCGCCCCTCGTTTCCTAACCCACGACACCCTTTGCCAGACCAAAACTAAAACCAGCCGAAACAAAAAGAAAATGTACACACCTTATACCTCCATGAAAACCCCGCGTGCCGTCTTCTTCTCGGTGTATGTATATATATATGTATGCGACGCGCGAGGCTATTATAAAGTGAGTAACTGCTGCGCAGAAATGATGTTAGATGTGTATTCCTATACATATGTATATGTACGTGTGTGTATGTATTGCGTTGTGCTGTACACTTGGGCGACGCATCAGCTTGTGGAGATCATCGGTGAGTTGTGATACATTAGTCGGCTCGTCTATTTTTTGTGATATATGTGTACCCAGTTCTTGAGATTTGCATGACTCGGCTTCGACGAGAAGTCGAGTCAGTGCAAATGTAGAGCGTATAGATATCTCGTAATCGAAAATAGTTTTTGTCCCTTACACTATTACATCCAAATGTATAAATGGATAGTAAGGCTCGTTAAAGCTATGCATTTGAAATACTTAATAATAAAATGAAATTTTTGCAAATTAATTTAATCAAGGTTTCCTTAAATTTTGATTAACCCCTGTATTTTTCGTATTCTCTTAGTCCTATTGGTATTTATTGGTAGATCTTTTTTTTTCTCATTCACATACAGCTTTATGATTTGAACTCCACATTATTATTTAAACACCAAAAAAAAATTCAAGTTATATGATGGGGATGGAAAAAAATGTCATTAAACATGAATCTTCTTAAAAATTGTTGGACAAAATCGTTTAATGTTTCATGCGTTTGTATCGTTGTTTTATATTTAAAAATAATTTTTAACGGTATTATAACTAAAAATCGGATTAGCTAACTGTAACATTTTGGTAAAAAAAATACATTGAATCGAAAAAAATTTTTTGCATGTGGTTGTGAGTACAATTCATTAAAGAAGAACAAAGTTCAAAGTTGCGAAAGAAACTCGACCGGAGAAAAAAATGTGCTCAGTTAGAAACAGAGTCGAGGTGAGTGTACAGATACTATCGCTCTTTCATACCATGCCTTTTTACCTTGTATCCTATAACAAACGTATACATATCTATATATCATCTTACGAGTCGACGAACGCGATTTTTCTTTTGTATACTTGTTACCCACATACTACGGTTTTTTTTTTTTCCTGTAAATTTGAGAAATTAGAGCTTCATCGACTTATTGTGGACCCAGATAGAGCTTGTCTAATCTACATGAGTTTATATTTTTTAAAAAAAGAGTAGTTTTAAATTGTATGCAGGCAATTAAACGCCCATCCAAAATTAGAAAGAAAAAAAAAGTCTCTTATCTCAATGAAACAAGTTTTTGCAGTCCGCCACGCTATATTATACTGTATGTATGGTAACCCTCTAAAGAGGAAGAGTTAACGACGAGAGATAAATTTTTCACGAGAGCAACAGACGTGCAGCTTTTCTCCTCCTCTTTCGCGTCTTCGATGCATAAATATAAAAAGAGGAAGAAGCCGACGAGGAGGAGGACAACAAAGATCCACGAGAATAAAGCACGTGCCTAACGAGGCCACCGTTTTCTGTGGTTCCTTGTAAAAAATATACAAAGAAGAGAAGAACGAGAGCTACTCGCTCTCCATTCGTCTTGACAGTTTTATCTTGAGTGTACTCATAAACACGTGCAACGGTAAACAATTCGTTATTCACGAAATGAGATTTTTTTTTGGAGTTTTTGGAGCCACTTGGCTGTGATGATACCAGTTAATGTTATATTAACGGGAGCAAGGCCATGTGCCACGTGTTTACAATTACACACCCAACGTTTTACGATTCAGATAGACGTTTTTTTTTTTTTTTTTTTTTTTTTTTTTTTTTTTTTTTTTTTTTTTTTTTTTTTTTT